CCAGACCCGCTGACGGTGCTCCGCCGGGATGCCGCTCCGGATCAGGGCCTTCAGCTCTCCAGAGGGCATCAGCTCCCCAACGCTGTTCCACTTGTCACGGAGGGGCTTCTCCACTGCTTCCTGGCTCCGCAGGTTGTTGGACTTAATCTCCAGGGCCTGGATTTTGGCCAGGAGTTTCCAGTCCTCAACTTCATAGTCAGGTACGGTCATAAACCCGTACTCGTCGTACTCGCTGGAGGGACACCAGGCAGGGTTTAGTTCAATGGACAGTGCTGGTACCCACACACTCACTGCTTGGGGCCGTGCCTACTGCAGCCTGCTGCCAGGTTCTCGCCACCCAAGCCAGAGCACAGGTATTCCACTCCTCTGGCAGTGGCTTTGTATGGCTGGGAATAGAAAACCCCAAAGGATGGAGATGCCCCACCTCCCAGGTGACCTCCTCTGCTACAGAAGGAGTTTATCATCATGTCCAGCACCTACCTGCCAGACACACCATGGCTTTCTGTCACTCGCCATAGCACACAGCTTCTGCCACTCCCAAGAGAAGTTTAGCTGTACCATCTTCAGCTTTCTGTTCATACAGCAATATCCCACTATCAGAGGCTCATGGTCTTCCCACCAACAAACTAAACCAGCCTACTCAGCCTCCACTCCCAGGTAATCACTCAAGTCCCTGCTCTAGAAAGGTCCTCAGATCTTTCTTGCCTGCACATTCCCCTCCACAGCCTACAAGGGTGTAAGTATCACCATGCTCTTGCCTCTTACCTTACAGGGTTCAGGTTAAAACCTTCTTCTGCTTCTTCCTTCACATCCCACTGGAGCGCTTCCTGGATGAGGTTCCTCACCAGCTCAGCATGGGAGCTGGTCAGGCCAGGCACAGCCTCCTGCAGCTTTCGCAGGACTGTCAGGTATTTGCTCTCCATCTGGCAGTTTCGTGCTTGCAGGCAGGCACACTGATGGGGAAACAAGAGGGAATGAGCCGGCTCATTGATGGTTCTTCCTGCGTTGCCACTGCTCTCTATTGGCCTGGTCTGCACACAAAGTGAAGACTCCCGAAGAGCAAAGCCCCAGAAAACACACCCAGCAGTCTTCTACAGTCAGTGGAATTGCAGCCATGAATTGTTTACTGTGGTCTGAGAAGAAGCATAAGCTGCACTAGCTAGTGTGCAACACAAGTTGCTTATTGAGTGGGAGACTTAATACAGCATCACCTACTTCAGCTACTGCATTGCATCAGTGGGTGCCAGCCAGCTCGGCTCACGACGCAACCAAAGAGCCACCACTGCAGGTGAGCTCTCTGTAGTCTTTTTCCCTGCTTCTCAGACAAGTTCCCTACCCCACATTGAGCTGCATCCTGACAAAACACACCACTGCTTCGCCAGAGCTGTGCTCGTACCATTTGCAGGATAGCACCACAGACAGGGTGACCCCATGCCTCTCAGCAGCCCCAGTCTCAAGGCACTGGTACACAATATTCCTCAAGCACAGCAAGCACAACTGAGCCCAAACATCAGGACAGTCCCTACAACCACCATACTCCTGGCCACCCAAAGCAGAAAAAAGGTATGAGGACCGTTATTCCCACTTCACGAGTGGGGACCTGAGGCTACACAGGTGACAAGACTCACCCCATGTCTCACAGGAAGCTCAGTGAAGATTCCTGCTTAGTGGGAAGCAGCAGTTTTGAAAACAAAAACAGAAACCACAGAGAGAATTAAAGTGCATATAGAGGGGACAGAAAGGAGTGTGGAATACTGGAGTACTACCACTTTAATCAGTATTTTGCATCATGTTGAGCACGTTGGCCTGATTACTTCCTTTCAGAAGGTTATGGCAGTTTCAGGATCAGAGAAGGGCAGTAAGTTGGGAGGTAGGCAAGATTTCAAAGGACTAAAAAGCAAACAGATCTAAGGATGGCAATAATACTTCAGAAGGAGCCGTTTGCCCTGTTCCAGAATCTAAGACTGTGGAGGCCTGCCTTAAAACCCAGGGAAGTAAACCAGTGTGAAAACCCACAGAACAAACACCACCACAGACCACCAGCCTGAGGAAGTGGTTCAGGACCAGAAGGTAGGATTAGAAGCTTAAAAACTTAAGTTGCTTAAAAACTGTGATCTAGCTGCAGAACCTGAGAATGCTGCCATGTGGTAATGCCAAGCCTGGGAGAGAAATCAAGGCAGTGCCAGGGCTCAGTCAGTCTGCCAGCTCTCAGGAAAATTTTCAGATTCCCTGCACATAGTGTTGCTTTTTCACCTGTATTCAAAAGCATGGCTGAAATGCAGCATTCTGGGTTAAGTTTCAGCATCCTCAAGACTAGGTTTTGCAAGTATTTTACTTTTATAGAAGGATGAAGATGATGATGTTTAATTTGGGAACAACACAAAGCAGAAAAACGTCCATGATTAAAAAAAAAAAAAAAAGTGAAGAAAGCTGATTCCTCATGTGTTTTGAACCAAAATGCATTCCAGTGCTGACTTTAGAAAGAAATTAGTAACAGTTCTCACCAAGGGAAAAAAGTCATTTTGCCTTACCTTCATCAGAAGTGCTTTTTCATTCTCAGCAACCCTTGTCCAGAGTCTAGTAACCTGGTGGATCTCCGAGTTCAGAAACTGGTTCTGGGTTTTGTACGCATCAATATCATCCTGCCACAAAGCAGAACAGTCACACAAGGGCTGCTCTTGAGGGGCTTGGAATTCCCTCCCAGTTCAGGGACCTCAGATGTGGATTGTGTTAAGAACAAGAAAATATCTCAACAGTTTGGGTTCTGGGTAGAAGACAGGACTCTCCAGGACAAATATTGCCCACAAAGGAAATCAAGGCACAACATTGAATAAGAGTGTTGGGCATAGACAAGACACCTGAAAATGCTGAGCACACTGCATGCACATGCTTAGAAAACACAGACACACCCGGGTGATATATAGCCAGAGAAGCACCCAAATAAAATTAAGAAAAATATGTGTTTTGCTCTGGTTGGTTTTTTTTTGTTGTTGTTGTTATTGTTTTGTTTTGTTTTTCCAGACTGACACAAATCACAGCCCCAAGGCCGGCAGCAAAAACAAACACTCTCCCACGATACAGTAAGTGGCTCTTTTGGCAATTTTCCACCTCATGCTAAGTGGTCATTGTAACTGTATGTATAGGGACATACAACAGGCTGCATTTGAACGAATCAGGATCTATTGGGAAACTGTCTGCAAGAGGGAAACAAGGAGGAACAAACCTAGTGAAGGCAGCAAGTGAGACTGCAGCTGTGGAATGAAGAGCAAAGAAAGAGGCAGGCACTGAATGGTGACACAAAGTCAAACAAAACAGGCTCTGAGCTGAAGCTGAAATGGACCCAGATGGTTTTGAGCACCCTATTTATGGTGTCAGGTGAGCCCCTTCCAGCCTGCCTCTGGCCTGGACACAGATGGAGCAACTAGCTGAAGTATACTCTGTGCTTCCCACAAGGAATACCCCCCACTGGATCAGAAATGGAAGCCTCCAAATGGCCTGTGCCACCTTACACACCTTCAGGTGCTCGATCTCCTCCTGCTGCTTATATAGTGTCTCTGTAGTGATAGTGTTGGCTTCTTGCAGGGGGTCAGATAACTCCCGGGACATCTGCTCTGTCAAGGCCATGATGACTTCCTGTTTGGCATGGTTCTTCTCCATCAGAAGCTGCACGTGCTCCTTGAGTTCCTGGATGTGGCTGTCTCTCAAAGCCAGTGTCTGCTCCATCTCCTTCTTCTCTTGTTCAAGAGCTTCCAGACGACTTGTGAGATCTGCAATTTGTCTCACTTTGTGGCGCACCAGCTCCATCCTATCCTTATCTTGTGTTGCAGCGAGGTACATGCTAGATACCCGCTTCTCCTGCTGGGCTGCCTCCAGAGCTTTGTGGAGAAGTTTAACTAGCTCCTGAAAAAGGAATGGAAAGCCATCACATCACGGTTTTGCCCAGAGCAATGGCAGTATGCGCAGCCCAGACCCAACCAGCGATGAGCGAATAGTGAAAAGTCCTCTTTCAAAGGATCTTGACATCGACTCCTTTCAGAAGCAAAATTGAACACAGCAATCTTAAAATCATAGTGCCTGACCAACAGGGAAGCTCTGCTCACAGAACTGATCCTGAAAGGTCTCTGCAGCAGGTCACAGATTACTTGAGTTTAGGTGGACTGCTAACAGACAAGCTGCTGCTCACACTGCCTGAGTACTGTTTTTGCTACAGTCACCATGCCTGAAGGCCCGGAGGAGACCAGAGAAGCTGGAGATCGGGTCAGATCCATGATAAAATGGCAGAAAGGGAAATAATGCAGACTGAATCTATCTGGGCTACCAGAAGGAAAGTGCTGTATCCATTTTACACGTCCCTCTGCCAGAGTCCTCCTTCACTCCACCCATATGAAAGCACTAAATCTTGCTCCAACAACGTGCTGCTGATTCAAGCTCTATCATCTCAGTCACGTAAGGGAGCAAATCAAGGATACAACTGATTGCCCATCATGGGACCTAGATCTCCTGCCTTCTTCTGTTGGAAATGGTACCAGCAACATCAGTGGAGAGCTTGGCATTGCTCACACTTGTGAGCAAGAACAGCATCACTCAGGAGAGACAGCCCTGGTGCTGACTTTGACAGACAAATTGTCTCTTAGTGGCATGTCACTGTTCAAAAAGAATGACCTGCTGTTAACAGCATGACAGCCTGGCAGTTCTGCCCACGTCATGGTGCCTATTCACACCTCCACTGAGTGACAGAGATGCACAAGCAAGACACTAGCAGAGAGCACCTGTATTCATTTTACCTCCCTTTTCCAGCCCAGCTGCTTAGCTGCACTTCCTAACAATGGCTGAAGGACAGCCCATCCTCCCTGGCATCGGGCACAACCAGGCACACACAAAGCACTAACACCAGGAGCTTCAGCTAGTCCTCAGCAAGCACCTACTAAGCACTTCTCAGCCTAACACCACGGTATAAGGGAGTCCTTGGGAAGAGCCTCAGGGCCCTGCCCTTCGAAGCAGCAGACTCACCTTCTGTGACTTGACTTCCTCTGTGAGTGTCAGGATCTGCTGCTGTAGGACACTCACTTTATCCATTGCATTCCTCTCACGGGACAGTTCTTCAGGCAAGCCTGGGAAGCCACTGTTCATCCACTTGGCTTTCCTAATCCAGTTCAGCCTGGGCTCCATCCTCTCATCCTCCAGGGTTCCCTCCTTAGCTGAAAGTAATAAGAGTTAATTTACACAGAATTGGGTTGTTAGTGTGGATGCCTGAGTCTTGCTTTGGGAGGACTCATAACAGCTCAGCAGAGAAGACTGACACACACAAGACAAGGAAAATTGACATGCTGGGATCCACAGGGATGCAACACAGACAGCAAGGAGCAGCCACAGGTACTCCCAGAGTAAACAAAGCAAAGATGTTTCATTGGTACCTGTTAACCCACCTTGCACTCTGCCCATTTATCCTGCACACAGCAAATGCAAGTTACCATCATGAAGAGATAACTGCTCAAGTATGCAGAGGAGCTGTTGAGCTTTGCCTGTGATCATGCCACAATTTAACTTCTACCTCAAACAAACACCAGGATGAGCTGGTGGCACTGGAGGCCTCTGCAGAAGGTTCCAGAGGTAGGAGATAGGCAGATGCAGCCTGACTCAGAGCCAAAAGAGTCAGTGTTGCTCCAATAACACAGGAAGGGACCTGAGACAATATGACAGAGTTTTCATGTCCTATGATGACTTGCCACCCTTTTCGTCCTTTTCTAAGCCTGACTCCCCGGTAGAAGGCACCATACTCAGATGAGCTCACACAGTTCAGTAACAAGCACCTGCACACGCTGCCTCCCCTTCTCCCTGTTGCTCCTCATTCGGGTTCTCAGGATGCTCCTGGAATTCACTGAAGTTAAAGACATTCCCATTGTTCCCCCAGAGCTGCTTGGAGCCACAGATATTGTAGACAGTGTTTCTGAAACAAGAAGAGATCAAGACAACCTAGTGAACAGAAGTCATGATCACTGCAGTCAGTGCATATTCAAACTATTCAAGGCTTTAGCTCTCCTCATACTCCACGCCTTCCCCCAAAAACTATATCCTTTATGTGCTGAGAAAATGAACTGTTCATGGCACTGGTGGATCTGAGGGGAGTACTGGTATAAATCAGGAAGGTGCCACAAAACCAATACCAGCACAGCAATGTAAATCAGCTGTAAATCCTTCACCGTGTGCTTGAACCCTGTACATAAATGCATAAGGCTGGACAGAAGGACCAAAGGCAACAACAGCCCAACCACACCCCTCCCTCCCATCTCCTAGCACACTGCGGAAATCCCCAGGTGCCAGGAAAGGCTCAGATATCTACAGCACAGCCAGAACTGCCCACAATGATCACATCTGAGGCAGCCACAGGTCCTGTGCTCTGAACCACATTGAATAACCTTATCACAACAAACTCAAAAGATTTTTATGCAGTAAAGAGATTGAGAAACAAAACTGCAGTCAGACCCAAAACCAGTTTGTTAGAGCTGCCACCATCAGATGTTGCCAGAAACACTAAGAGGTGACTACAGTACTATGCAAAACCACAAACCCACAAGTATATTCTTTAAAACCTACACAGGAAAGTGAGGTAGTTGCCTGTCTCTATACAGGTCTTTTCCCTTCTCCTCCTATGTTGTCCATCTGCTAAAACCAAACATGCCCCTTGTTTTAAGATCTACAAAAGACTCGGTGTCAGCTACATCCTAACTGTAAATGCAGTTGGCCCTTAGATATTGTTCCCCATTTGCCTTGTTACTGTAAAGCTCCACAGCAGCGAGCATTCGTTGCTGACCTCGGGGCACACACTGGCACACCAGATCAGACCTTCCTCCCCTGTAGTCTGCAGGTGGCGCTGACCCAACGCAGCTTTTCTCTGCCTCGCGCTGTGCTTGTTCTTCACCTGCGACAGCAGCAGCTCAGGGATCTCACGAACTTAGCTGAAGTCAGACGCGCTACACTCCCGAGGAACCGTTCACAGCACCAGGGGAGCAACATTATTTGAAGCTAAAAAGTGGCAACTGTTATTCAAGCTAGCAAGGCTGTGGAGGGGGCACGGGATATGACCACATGATTTTTAATCAAAGTGAGGAGTAGAAAATGCATAGCCAGAAAAATAGTACAGCTGACTCTAATCCATTTTTGGCCCCATTGGGGATCTCTCTTACTATCTTACTATCAGCATCAGATCATAACCACAGTACTGAAAACAAAAAAAAACAACAGCCAGCCTCCTCACCAAAAACATTTGGCAGGTGCCAGGCTACCTACCACACTTGTGGTCCCTCACACATTTTTTGCTATATGTATGTAAGTGACTAGGACACAGTCAAGGAGACAGTGACCGGGGTTGTCTTTGTGCAACTGTAACTGCCCAAGTCTTGTGACCTGTAACAATACTGGAGCTACAAGTTGCAACTGAAGATAGCAGCATCACTGTAGCACTGGGAACATTCACACACTGGAACCCCAGCAAGGCGTAGCAAGCTCTGCATTGCAGTGTTGCTCGGAGTTCCTGCTTCAAAGAGGGCACTGCGTTCAAGGTCCTTTGAAACGACAGGAAGGTGCTAATGGGCTTCCTTCACTAGCCTACTGAGTACAGCTTAACCTACCTGTGTCCCTCCAAGACCAAGGTGCAGATGCATCACAGCAGGTGTGCAAACCCCCACCCAAGCTGAAGAATGCTTAACCAAGCCCCGAGTCTGCCAGCGGGATCTTTGCTGAGAGAGCTACACCATGTGAAATGCACTAGAACAGAGTGGTGTGAGAGAGCCTCTGGCAGGAAGTTCACTTTCACCTAGAATACTTCAAAAAGCTTCTCCGTGCCTGTTCCACCTAGGCAAGAGTCCCGTTTCCCACAACATGTGACAGGCAAGAAGGCACAAAGTGGCAGGCCAGCATGTCAGCCACACTGCAGGTCTCCTGATGCACTTACTGTATCTCTGTCCAAGGGTGTTTAAGGGAGATGTTCTGCAAAGCAGTTGATGTTTGGGGTGCAGGCAAGGATGCTGCCTTTAAACCCACTGCTTCTGTTGGTGTTTTCACCGGAGGCAGAAAGTCTTCATTGTCAACAACATCTATGTAAAAGCAAACCAGGACACAGAAGCAAGCAAGACAGACAGAATTCCCTTGGCCTTTGGCTCATTCATGTAACTGTAGAGCCACAACATTCTACTGCAGGTACACGTTCCCTGCTCAACTGGCCAGGTGGAATAAGGACAGCAGAGCAGGGTTCCTTAGTTTTAGGTCAGTTTACAGAAGGTTCTATGAATAGATGGTTCTATTTGTACAATGACAATCAAATTACTTCAACAATTTGTATATAAGAATGACTGAAGTTAAACAATCAAACTTCAGCCACCCAGAGGAAACAGGAAGGAAGCTGTTGCTGCTGTTTTCCTCCATCACATGCAGCGCTTTATAATTTTGATGTGCAGATAACACTCCACAAACACAGTTTGTTACCAAATTGTTGCTTGCTGTAGGAGAATGCCAAGGTACCCAGAACTTTTTAAAGTCTAGACCCCTTACTATAGAAGGGGTTGTTTAAAACAAAATGTACATCTAGTCATAATTAAACAGGTGGAAACCCTCCTTGTGGCCTCCCCAGTCCATCAGCCTGTGTAATCCCACTGCTAGGAATGCACATCTTCATCCCACCACTGCTGAAAAAAACATTGCATGCAGTAAATTTCATAGGCTTTGCAAGAGGAGGGGAATATACCAAATGTGCACAGTCCACAACCTGAGCATTTCCAAACGTGTGCTGTGGATTAGGAAATAGCCCATTCACATTCATCCATAACAAGGCCAGAAGTTCCAACCATCAGCCAAGGATTGATAGTTGGCACCTGCATTTAAAATCCTGGCCAAAACTACTGCCCACTTAAGAGATGAGGAGCATCGTTCATCACTGGGGGAGTTGAAAGCAGAAGAAAGGCTGGCATGTGACACCTACTTGTTCTGACAACCAGAGGCTCATTCACAAGCTGGGAGCTGCCCACAGGAAATCTGCTCTGAGTGTTGCAAAATTCCCAACGTCTCATTTGTAGCTGCTGCAGCCAGTACATCATTGCCTGCTTGCTGATTGCCTAACACAACACAAAAGAGGAAAAGAGAGGAGAGTAATCTCATCATCATGAGACACATCCCAAAGGGCTGACCACCACTTCACTGTGGAAGTAAAGGCCAGCTGTGTTAAGCCTATGATACTTCCTCTGGTGTAACATTGACTTAGGAGGACAGAGCAAATCTTCAAGCATGGCCTCAGGACTGGAACCTCAATGGCTGACCTCGCTGACCTCATTTTAAGTGTTTTTTCATTTACTATGCTCCAAGGCTAAGCATAAATGTCATGATTATTTTAGCCAGAAGTCACCCACAGAGCTTCTTAATAGCAATTTTCACAAAGATAAAAAAAAGCAAAGGTTCCTGCTGGAGCAGCCATTTTAGACAGAGAAGCCTATTTCCGTTCAGGAAAATGCATACAGACTGCAGGACTCCTCAATGATTTTAACTCAGCTTCCAGCTCAGCTTTTACCCCTATTCTGTTACACATCAGCCACCTCACAGGTAACGGACTCCTTATGCAAGTAATTTAGGTTCAAATAGTAACAATCCAGGCTGGGAGGACAAAAATGAATGTTTCATAACAAGAAGATGCTGACCCTTACCTTCAAAGTAAAAATTCTGCTTGGTGTTCTAATCTCAAAAACCCCTTCCCCATTTTCCACTTTGCAGTCAAAGCTGGCGCTGGAGAGGTCGATAGACCCCAAAGGGTTGATGTCCTGTGCAGTTCTGTAGTACAGTAAATGACATTTGTTTTCATCATAAAAGAACCAGCGAGACTTCCAGGTTTTAATTGGCCCCTTGATGCCCAGCTTATTTAAATAGCCACAGAGTTTTTTCCTGGAAGTTTCTCTGCTGGGTTTCAGCTGTACGTAGTCCAGTTCTCCAGAAGAGGAGACCATGTCTTCCTCCTTCGCTGAGGCTCCACCGCTGCTGTTAGTGTCTGGGCTTGACTCCACTAAGCTCCCTGGAGCGTCAAGGGGACAAGTTCTGCTTTCTGGTCCTTTTTTCATCTCTTTTAGTAAATATACTCAGAATTTGATTGAAACAGGAAATTCTCTAGGTAAGTAAGTAGCAGCAGGTCCCGACTATATCATCACTGTTACCTGCAGCAAACGAAAAAGGAGGAATAAGGTCATGTCTGGCATAAAACAAAAAACATTCCCTAGTTTCCAAACTGCTCATCCAAGCTCTCCTACTTTTGGTCATTGCTCCCTGCCCTCCTTGGCTGAGATGACCCCTATATGTCTGTTTTCTCCCTTTTCTATTCCTGAATTAGCCTGGACTAGCAGCCAAGAAGCAGTACCACAATCTCCTGAGTGAAAAGTACAGTCTGTGGACACATCAAATCAACAGCAATAACCAGGGCATGCGAAGCCACAGACAACAGTGTTACCTAACAGTGGCAGATGTCCGTGACCTTTGCATAAAGCAGGCTAACACTCCAGAAAATACCTATAAATAATTTCTTGTGGTTTTTTTATTAAGTAAAAACATAGTTTAAAGACCAGTAAGTGACAAGACTACCAAAGACTTCGTTCAGACACTAACAAATCTACAGCATATACATAAGGAAATAAATTGTTGTAGTGTTAAGCTAGTAGGACTCCAAGTGCAGACTCAAAACTCCTGAACATGACAGCCAGCTGTGCGACAACAGCTGAATGGAGGTCAGTACAGTGGAGCACAAAGAGGTGTTGCCCAAGCTCACCCTCTTAGTTATGACTTATCCTCATGACCAAAAGAAAGCTTATGCTCCCCAGCGCTGGCTAAGTTTCATCGTGTTCATTGCTGCCCCCTCCTGTTCCCACATCAGCTCTTTAGACAACTATAGGTAACATTCACTCTTTTTGGAAAGTTACTGAACTTCCTTCAGTTCACCCCCATGACACCATGGACACTGCTGTTGAACACATTCACAAATGCCAGGAAGAAGTATCCTTCATGAAGTTGTTGCATCAGCTAAGCACCCAAAAGGCCTCATTTCCAAATAATTTTGCCTGGCACAAAGGAACCATCATCAGGAGGAAGAAGCAGTCTCAGTTCTCCTGAACAGACCACAGAGCTCTTATGGCAGTATCAGCATAAGGACCTCACGTACCATCTGAAGGCTCCATCATACTTCTACCTCTCGCCAGTGTGACAGTCCATTGATCCACACTGCGAACAGGATCGAGTAACCATTTTGGGTTCAAGCACTACATTATAAGAATTCATGGCAGATCTGCATTGCAAAGCACTCTAGAGAAGATCTCACCTTCTTAAGAGAAGTGGAGAGATGCCCTTAGAAGTCACTGAAATAACAAGCAGAGCTTCTGCTGCAGGCTCTACCAAGCAAGTAACCACAGCCTCCGAAACAAATCCAGCAACAGCAGAAGAGGGGCTTCTGCCTTCACTTTTCCTTCGTTCGAGTCAGTGGCTGGGAACTGTCTGTAAGAGACAACTTTTCTGAAAGCAGCTCTGACACTGACTCACCAACGGACAGAGAGGTCAGGGCGAACCCTGAGCAGACCTCCCTGGAGCTGCTGGTGTGTGCA